CACACTAATTTGCCCAGAAGACCTCAAACTTGTGATCCTCCTGCCTCTTCAAAGTTGCTGGGGTTATAGGTGTGCACAACCACATCTGGCTGCATGTTTTATCTTTAATTATTATTTGATTTTTAATTATTTATTACCATGAAGTGTCTATTGAAGAAGGGACCTGAGAGATAATATAGTTCACCCTTGGCACTTTACTGACCAGGAGAAAGAGATTTTTAAGTCCTCCATCAATTTATTTAAAAGCATTGTGTAAGTTCTTCTATGGAAGTCACTTGCTAACAGAAAAAAGGGCAGAGATGTTCATATCATGCCTCTGCTTTCTCGCTATCTATTAAGCTATTTATTTTGTAGTAGACTGGTTTATTCAAAGCTATTGGTGAGATGACTTGGCAAGTGCTCCTGCTTTTAAGAGTTATGACATTATTGTCATAATTTAAGTTTAAGGAACTTTTATTGAGTGCCTGCTTTATGCTAGGTTCTGCACTAGGCTTTGGGGATAAAAAAGTTCAGTAAAGCACACTTTGTTTTCTTAAAGATCTAAGTTCAGTTTGGAAGAAAGATATTATGATAAAATTATGACTAATTTTGTAATAATTATTATGAATGGAGATTTGCCAAGGTTTTATTTAAGCCCCCAAAATGGGTACCTAAGTCAATTTGGGGACCTGCTTCCTGACAGAGAAGAAGCAGGAGGAAGAGTGTGGCTATCAGACTATTTTCTGTGCAACTTTACACATTCCTAATTTTATGGGACTACAAATACATAACTTCCATTCTCATTTCCATAGACAATAATTTAGCAATATATACAAATCTTACCACTTGTTTCTCCAGGAACTGATTAAAGGTACCATTGCATTGGTTGACAGAGAAAAGATGTTTTAACAGATTTTTTTTCTTTTATTGTCTGGTACTCCCAAGGACTACTGGGGATTCTAATCTGTGCAATAGGATCTTCCTACAAAGAACTTATAAAAGTCTTTTAATAATGAATAATAAAGAACAATATGTAAAACCTAATAGTCTTTGTTAATTAAGCATTTCAGCAGTGCTTTAAAATCTATTCCTAAGGGACAGGGACAGTGTCTTTTGAGTGTATTGTGAAATATCTAGTAGGCTATTCATTGGCTTTAAACAAACATCCAATTAGTGAAGATTGGAATATTGTGGTCTGAAGAGTCTGAGGAGTGTGCCTTTTTCCACCCAACATTTCAAGCATCTAAGTATCAATTGCCTTCAGAGGAAACTCACAGTAAAATAAGTTATTTGTGTACAAGCCACCCATCATAGTAGATTTGAGTTAACATTCACAGGGATTTGGAATGGTTTTTAAAAAGCAGATCTGAATCTTAAGCGGGGAAAACAAAACCAGCTAAGATCAGAACATTTCAGCATCAGCCAGTATGGTCTTGTTTTAATCTCCTGCTTCTAAATACAGGGTCTTGTATGGAGTAAAGGAGAGAAGTTTGTATGCGGGATGCGGGGAATGGGAACAGCAGCTGGGAGGCTGCACATGGACAGTCTTATATCCACTTCTTTAACATTTCTCATTGCCTTCTCTTCCTCATTGTAACTTTGATTCCTAAGTCATTTCTTAGGTCCACTCCCACCATGATAGTGGAAAAGGTAGATGTCATACAAAGTCTTCCTAAAAAGCACTAGTCAGACTCAATCATACATGAAATATTCTTTAAATTTGCTATGTCTTCCATGGTATTAGCAACATTTGCCTGTGACAGTGCAGATTTGAGAAAGCTGCATTGTAGTGTCAGGACCTTATGTGTGTTCCCTACTGGGCTGATTACTTTACGCTAATGTAGTATCCCATTCACTGCAATACACACACTTCCTATATTGATTGCATTATCTGTAGTAGTAATCACAGATATCATTACCAGGCAATTACACAAACACACATCTAAGTTAGGTAACCTGTTCTCCAACATTATCTCTCACAATGCTTAATTTTGTAATGAAGCTGATCATCCTCTTGTCCAATTAAGTGTAGCTACATATTTTGATCAAGCAAACTTAAAGCCAAGTGTATTGAATTATGTAGTAGGTAATTACTTATATATGTTAGTTACAAAGCAGAATGAGGGCAATTTAAGTATAATCTCTTTCTTATTCTATTTGAAAACTCATTAGAGAAGGTTAACTACTTTAAAAAATAGACCCAAACATGCTTTTGGATCAAATACAAGGGAAGTTAATTCCTGCTCATATAATTGGGCCGGGTGTAAGAACTAACTTGGCTATGCAACCATCCAAGGACCCATGGATAACTGACATGTCCAATACAAGTCTGTAAGGTGACCCCGAAAGATTCATTTCAGGAAAAGAACATAAATATTTAATGAGATAAGTCTATGGGCTAACCTTGGCAGTGAAGCACATTCATATTCTATTGGCTAAATGTTAGTCACATGTCCATGCTTAACTACCAGGAAGACGGAGCATTACAGTCTATCTTAGGAAAAAGAGGAAAACATGGATATTGGTGAGCAGTTAACAATTTCTACTATAAGAACTCAAAACAGAAATTTCTCCATTTCTCTAATGAATACTTTGCTTGCTTTAGCATTATTTGAAATTTTTATCAGTTTTGCTTTTATTTACTTTTTTTTTTATTGTTTACATTGTGCCACATATCTTATAAAACCTGGATCCAAGTGCTGCCTTTTAAACCTGTATTTATGAAAAAATTAAGGACTAGAGAATATGATATTGTATTTTTTTAGGTTTTTAAATAATAAATTATGCTCATATTAATGTAGTGATTTTCAGCAAATTAAAGGGTAGATATATAGGTTAAGACAAAATGTTCTTTGAGGATATGGCCTAGTTTAACCTTTTTTTGGAAGGAATGGAGAAATGAATTATTTACTTCATTGTACAGGGAATATTAGTGGCAGAGTCAGATTGAGGTTCTTTCTCAAGTATAAGTATCTTTCCATAACATTGTTATCTTTTTTATAGACTGTCGTATTGCTCACAAAGCATGTCATTAAATAATGTCCATCCCTTTATAGAGATGAAGTAAAACACAATAAATTATAATTGATATAAGGCTATCATATATAAATCTATGTAAAAATAAACAACTTTCTAGATTTTCCAAACTCTTTTGAGAGCTGTAATAAGTCAGGTATTTATTAATTTTATATATATTAATAAAGATGCTCCAACAGTGGGCAATAAATCTATGAAAGCAAAATTTAACTGTATTATTGAGATGATAAAATAACTAAAGATAAAGTTGCTTGTGTAATTATTGGTTCCATAGCCTAACTTCACTTTCTTTCTATAAGGATGTAAACAGTAGAAACTGCCCAGGAAAACTGGCATCAATCTTGTTGTACTCTAAATCATATAAACTCTAAAGGATATTTTGAAATTATGTTACGTTTGGGGTTATCTCACCATCCTTATTTGTGTCAAATAGTAACTATGATTAATCTTGTACCATAGTCGAATAAAAATTATTACACTGACCGACATTCTTTTGTTTCAATTCAAAGAGCATACTAATTGGTTTTTATTATGAATGTTATAAATACAGCTGTAAACTAACATTCACCTGTATTTACCTCTAATATTTGTCTGTTGTATTAAGGAAAAAATAATCTGGCAAACATTTTATAAATGAAGGTAAGAAAAGACTTGGCTTCCTCCCTGTCCACCTTCCACTATACAAATATTAAAAGTTTCACCTAATTTTATGATTATGGAAAAGAACAGTATTTTCATGAGAGGATTACCAGACTTTGCTTGCTTTCATATTTTCATATTCCTTCTGTTAAAAGTCTGCCTTTATTTAATTATGCTTAGTCTATTCAGGCTACTAAAACAAAACACCTTAGGCTGTGTAATTTATAAACAAAATATTTTTACTCATAGTTCTAGAGGCTCTGGAATCCAAAATAAAGGTGCCAAGCCGACTGGATATTTGATGAGGGCTTGCTTTCTACTACAAATATGGTGTCTAATCTCGTTCATTAAGTGATTTATGACTTAATCACTTTGAAAAGACCCCACCTCTTTATACTACCACATTGAGTATAAAGTTCCAACATATCTTTGGAGGAGATACCAATATTCAGATGATAGCAATAATTAAGGTGAAAAAAACCCAGCAAACTACACTATGTCTATATGCATTGGAGAAATCAAGTCCAACATCATCTTTTAATGTACTGCTATTTATATTGCTTTGACTTCACAAGAATTTCATATGCAATCTGCTGGAGTATAGAGATGTAACAATCTTTTTGTAATCCTTTCTTTGGGTATGAGTTCTTAAAGCATAGACAGCATGTGTTCAGATAATTTTTAGAAGTTATGTTTATGTCTTTTGTAAAGAATCTGATATTGGTCCCCCAGGTGCCACAACATTTATAAGAAAAGGAAAAGAGTAAAGAGGGAGAGTCTATTTTTTTTTAACATATTAAAAATTTGGAACTCATTAAAATCTAATTTTGATTTTTGTAGGTGTTACAGAAACCAATTAAAACAGATTTTAGAAATACTTGTATTATAATCTAAAAGAGACACTAAAAATATGGATTAGCACTTTAATTTCATTGTTTTTGAAAACAATATGCATTAAATATCATTACATAGAACTATATTAAAAGTAAAGGGAATGCATTGAGTAACAGAAATTACACTGTAGAAATCATTTCTTTTCAATTATTTGTTACTTCTGTGAAGGAAAAAAAACTTAGGGTTGGTATAAAATCTATAATTATTATCTTATTTCAAAATATGCATTCTGATGTGTTTGTGCTCATGTAAATTTTTAACTTTGTATATATTAAGAGGCACCAGCATCTTAAGTAAGACTTTGTTTAAAAAGTCACTCATTTTATTTTTATCATATACTGTGATGAATCTTGCTTTCAACCTTTTATTTGCATAAGTCAAATCTTTATTTTTTGCACTATTGTTTATCTTTTCTGCATATAATTAACATTAGCTTTCTTCTGACTGTGCAGGGCTGGCTATTTGCCTCAGAATATTCCTCTAGAGATTATCAGATACCTGTCTGAGGAGAAGGATTTTCTTCCTTGGCACGCTGCCAGCAGAGCTCTTTATCCTCTAGATAAATTACTGGACCGCATGGAGAACTACAATGTCTTCAATGTAAAAATATATAATTTCTTCTTCCTAATTTTCAGAAGATAAACCATTTTCTTATTATCTGCTGTATACAACTGATCCTGAGTTATTTTCATTTCTTTTGCTAGTTAATGTTATCATTTTTGGCCTGATTTTCTATGCAATACGAATGACAATTATTTGAAGAAGAAATTTAATACATGTTACCTTTTGTTCTGGCCTAAAAGTGTCAATTAAGCTTAAATGCTTTAGAATTTAAGAAGGAATATACATGGCAAATCCGTGAAGTTTAAACTTAACTTTCCTGAGTTAACAGGCTCCGTGTTCACAAAGGACTTAACCTGAGTGGAGGGATCCCAAAGATCTTAACAGAATATAGACAGTTTCAATCAAGATTCTTAGTCATTATTTTTATCCAAAAGGCCATGGTGAATCCAATTCACTTCCTTAATTAACAAGGATAAGATCAACATTGAGGCAAAAGCCCATTCATAATTGGGTCCAAGGGGATACAGGAGAGCAAACAACAGATAATCCACATAGACATGAATGCATGACAAACATTTCAAAATGTTACCTGACCAGAGTTTTTAAACTCAAAGCCGAGTAAACCCAAATTGCAAGGCTGAACCTCCTAATCTGATTTAATAATCATTTAGAATATTATTAGGATTAGGTAATGCTGATGAGCTTTTAATTCCTAAATTTCTTAGCACTATGCTATTACCTTTGTGCATTATTTGTTTTTCTTTAGTTAAGAGCCTGCACTGAATTTTATAAAATTATCCAAATGCTTTATGACATACTGATTCTGCTAACCTACACATTTGGAATTACTCAAAACTGTATTGCCACGACATGAAATCTGTTTATTAGAGCCATTTAGTTGTTTGTTGGCCATCAGAATTATTTCCTGTTTTCTTGTCCTAAGCCTGCAGGAAAGGAGCTCTATCCCTTTCTTTCTTTCTTTCTTTCTTTCTTTCTCTTTCTTTCTTTCTTTTTATTTTAGTGAAAATAATCTTGGCTTGACTTTTCAGTGTTATTAGTTTTGTCTAGGCCTTTACAACAGACATGCAAAGAAATGGGTCATTACAGTTTGGGTATAATTTTATCTGCTACAGAGAGACATATTACTCTTCTCTTTCTCCTTAACACAGAAACACTGCAATGCGAAACTTCTATAAAAGTAAAATACATTTTTTGTATATATTTGTATTTTAGAATAGTGTATCATGTCAAATACCTCAATTTTTGTAAAGTTAAGAACTGCTTTTACTGTAATTTCGGTGCTTTCATTCCTTTGACAAAATTCAAGGACCACATTAAAGGGAAGAAGAGTGTATCTTACATTGGTATTGATATTTAAATACATCATTGGTTGAATAGACTGTTGACTCTGTAATAACATATCATTACAGGGAAGTAGTTTGTGTGTCTCAACTTCAACAATGCTAGGTTATTGGCTGGGCCAGCATAACAGCTTTGCATTAAGTGTACTCTATTGACATGAAATGCATAAGTATTAGATGCTCATTTTCATAAAATGTATCTACATACATTTGTATATATGTATGCAGGAGTGTCATTTTCAATATTCCTCATTTTCCTCATTTTGTTACAAAAATTGTCAGCTAAAATATTTAAGAGTGCAAATTACTTAGTCATTCAGTAGGCAAGTGTATTTCTACCATTCCAATAGTATCTTGTCCTTATTTTCTATTTTGAAATACTAAGTTGAATAGAAGTATAATAGAGTGTTGCAGTGCCTGGAATTTTACTGATATTTAAAGGTAGATAGATTTGCAATATTTTAATTGTGAATTTTAATTGTCAGGATGGAAGAATTTGAAACTAACAGTATCCTTATTTCTTCTAATCCGCCTCTGCCCCATTTAGGAATATATTTTAAAGCAAGTTGCAACAACCTACATTAAGCTTGGATGGCCGAAAAATAATTTTAATGGATCTCTTGTTCAAGCATCCTACCAACATGAGTACCGTTTTATTTTCTGATTCTCTTCTCTTCCCCCAGAACTGTACAGTAACATTCTTTTAGTACCATTATGACATTAGCAGCATGAAACTACCTTTCTTTCATTCTGCATTTTGCATTTCATTTGCCTGGGAAGACAGCTGCTGGGTAACAGTTTCTACCACACAAAGGGACTTCCTTGCTATGTTTTAATTTAAGTTCTGCCTTTATTGTGATACTGAGATCAGAACCCATGCCCCTCGTTGGAGTGATGTCTTCAGAGAAGACATAGTGTGTCGAACATTTCACTCTGTCCATTTATTTGTCTTTTACTCAACAGCCTAGGACTTCCATATCTAAAAACTATTTTTGTGTTATAATTTACTTATCTATTTATGCAATGAATTTCCCTGACCTTCTCTCCAGTAGTAACACTGCTTTTTATTTCTTCTCCCTTTGATGGTATCCAGAGAACTGCGTAGGGAAGTGATAATGCTGGCATGCAGCTTTGGCAATAAGCACTGTCACCAGCAGGCATCGACACTCATTTCAGATTGGATTTCCAGCAACAGGAACAGGTAAGGTGAACTAAATCCTGTTTTTCTGATATTATTTAATGGTGCTTTCAGATGTTGGTGGATGCATTCCATTTATCAAATGGAGAAAAACAAGGCAGGAAAATGCACAGCTAAACTGTGTTTCAGGCTCACAGCTTACAAAGCAGCAGCATGAGAGCCACGGTGCACTCATCTCTGCAAAGTTTCAAGTTTTATGGTTTCTTCTGAATCCAGCCCTTCTTTCTGTATACATGTAAGATGGCACCTTATTTCAAGTGTAGTATCTCTGCTGTCTCATAAAACAAAATAATTAAATTCAGTCCAAAGTCTAAGATTCTTTATAAAGGTTGTGGCATTTATTCATAAAACAACTCCAAGTAATATGTTATCAACAAAGTAGCATAACAAATGTTAATATTTAAAACAAAAAACCAAACAGGTTATAAAAAGAGACCTTTACTCTTTCTGTGACCCTTGACAATGACCTTCCTCTTCTATCTTATCTTAGAATGGTATAATACTCAATTTTAATATAAAATATGAGGTTAAAGTTATTCAGTAGAATTACTTTTAAGCAAAAAAAAATTTGCACTAAATGTCACATGTTAATGAAATGAATATTAAGCAAAAAATAAAAAACACAGATCATTGGCCTTCCAACAACAAGTCTTTTAAACCTTTTAAAGGTGACTTTAAACTTCCAAGGGATTTTAGGGTCCTTTTGTTTTTATACTGTGAGCAGCTGATGTCATTTTTCTCCAGCTTCTGGCTTCCATAATTAACTAGAGTCAGAGGGGAAGGAAGAGGAATTAGGGAGCATTGAGAGGCAATTCATATGGACAGTGCTATTTCACGTGCGACAATGAGCTGGTCCCTGACCCGGTGGATGGGATGATCCCATGGGCAACAAATAAAGAGACTTGTTCTATATAAACATAGAGGATTACAGTCGTGTAACTTACTTAAGGAACAAGTTAGTGTTTGTCTTGTTAAGAGTCATTTAGATTTATTTTAATATATCACTCCAAATCAAAGGGTGGCTATTCTCTTCTAAAGGTCTCTGAGTGAAATCTCTCACTGCAATATTTAGTCATTTGTCATACTCCCTCACCTTCTGTAGCACTTTCCTGTTTGCCCTTTGAGTTAATTGTCTCTGGTCTTACATTAAGCCAAGAAGGAAATTATTTTATCACTATCATCTGTCGGTTGATCCATCATGTATTTGGAGACAGGGATTAAATCTGTCATCAGTCTTCTCTAGACCTAAAGTGTCCTCATTTTTTAAACTTTTACTAATGATTGTCCTTTGTGCTAAGTCTTCTGAAAACTATTCTATTAGACCTGAACACGTTGTAAGAACTTTTTTCCTTATTTTTGCCACACTCTTCAATTCTACTGCATATACTTAGACTATGAAAATAATTATTTAAAATCAATAATCCAAAATTTTATTAAGATATATATATATATATAAGATGAACTATATTAATTAGAAATAATTGTCTCTACTTCCTATCTTTTACTTTTGTGTAGTTTGTTTTTATTTTGCTACACACATGTGCCTTTTCTTAGAACTGGTAATTGTTTTCAACCCTTTCATGAGTTTCCAAGTGAATATATTTTTATTTACCATTTTATTAAGACCTGGTTTACACCATAGCATAACCATAACTTCTCTAGAGAGCTTCAAGCCTAATGCGAGTACCTTCATTTTTAAAATATAGTTCTGAGGAAAATACTATTATTGCTATTATTATATGCATTGGAGATTGAACCTTGGGGCACTATACCGCTGTGCTACATCCCCAGTACTTTTTTAATTTTTTTTTTTTTTTTTTGGAGACCGGGTTTTGCTAAGTTGCCATGTCTTGCTAAATTATGAATGTGGACTCCAACTTAAGATTCTCCTGCCTCACCTTCCCAAAATCACTGGGATTACAGGCAAATGCCATGGCGCCTAGCTGGGAAATGATATTTTTAAAAGATTCATTTATTTAAAAAAAAATGATGAGCAACTATCACTATTAGGTGTTAATAGTAAATTAAAGAGAAGAGGTGTTCAAAATTGATAGAAGATTCAGTTACAGTTTTATATATGAAGCAAGAACTAAGCACAGGATAGAGTGTAAATACAACAAAGGGAGGAATTACTGTCTTGGGGAACTCTTGCTCTCAGAGGGATGAGTAGGACTTTGTTAGATGGAAAGCACTGGGTTGCAGGCAGGAATGGGTTTGTATGAATATGTAAGGTAGGCTGATGGGGATTCTAAGCAGAAAGCACGTAGGTTGCTGGTTAATTTAAAAAGTATAGTCATTTTTTTCTTTTACTTGTTAACTTGAATAATCCATTGCTTCTATAATTTCCTTATGAATGAAAGTTCATACATAAGGAATCGGGTAATTTTGGTTTTGATAGCTCTGTAATTTTTTTCATGGCAAAATAAATCAGTTTGGTTCAAATGCTTTAAGATTCTTTTGTCAGTTCCTTCCTGTGTTTATATTCTTTGCTTTGTATTCTTTTGTAACTGGACAAGTATGCATGTCGAGGGAAAGTAACTATGTTTACTAGGATTTGCTTAACCAAACCTACAACTTGCCTCAGTCTCACAGGTGTCTTCCAGCAGCAAGGGCATATGATACCCACCAAGCTAGCTATGTGTGAAGATTAGAGGTTTAATCTGTATGTCGTGCATAACAGTTTAATGCTTAACAATAAAACAGTTATTCAATCCTATGGATCCTTGGTGCTTAGTTAAACATTCTTAAGTCAAAGAAGAAAATAACAAGATTTCTTTTTAAATGTGCCTACAGCAATAGGCCAGTCAACCTTTTTGTTTTTATTTATTTTTGTTTATCTAACTGGAACCTTAAAAAGAGTGACCTGAAAAAAATCATCTTAAAAAAAAAGCACTTGGGCTGGGGATGTGGCTCAAGCGGTAGTGCGCTCACCTGGCATGCATGGGGTGCTGGGTTCGATCCTCAGCATCACATAAAAATAAAATAAGATGTTGTGTCCATCAAAAACTGAAAAAATAAAAATATTAAAAATTCTCTCTCTAAAAAAAAGGACTCGAGGTATATAGTTACTACTTATAAAATATTTGGAGAAATGTATATTTATGCTAGTAAATATAAAGAAGAATGAATCATGGAAGTTGTGGGGGTTACAGATCTTTGGAGTGCTGTGCAACTGTGCAGTGTAATCTTTCTACATTAGAGAGAGGGTTAAAATCAGATGTTAAAATCTGGAAAATGGAACCACATGAAAGGAGGGGAAAGGAGGGATGATGGAACTAAAATGTGCAATAAAGGCCTAGAGATGGTAACAGTAGAGAGAAAAATCACAGAGTTACAGTGGATAATAAATTGAATGAGTTGACATCCTGATCCCTGTTAAAATGTTCAGCTGCTCTGGTGTGTTGAATAGTAATGGTGATGTCATGCATGAAAACAGATTGAGCTTCATTCAGGTCTTGTTACGCTACGATTTGCAGACCAAGTTCAGCAGAATGACACATTTCAGAAAGGAGACAAAATACCAAGTATTTGTGGAGAACAATACCAATGGGGAGCAGGGGCGCTTGAAAATATGAGCTAAGAAAGGAGCTTATGAGACCTGGTAGTATTTTTCTTTTAAAAATGAAAAGATGATTATCTTTTTGTACATATAAAAAAACATTTAAAAAAGGGATAGAAAGTGGCTTCTTTCATTTGTTAATGCAAATCAATAAGACCTGAAAAGCCTAGGTTTCACTCAATAAAATATAAGGAATATATTGCTACTGAAGATGAATTACTATTTGAAAAATCTCTGCATTCAAGCACTACCGGGTTATACAGTTGACTATGCAAAGATAATATGGCATTATGGAATGTTCTCTAAGTAAAAAATTTAAACTGAAATTAAATTTGTGTGCAAAATAATTCATTACTTTTTAAATACTGTTGAAAGATGCAACAAAAACTTTAAGCCAAAATAAGGTAAAGATTTAGCATATTTAATTGAAAGATTTACTCAGTAGACAGTTATATCCTTACCCTAACTATAAATTGAAGACTTCATCTGAAAAGTGTCTTGACTCTACTTTGAAAATATCCTGAAATAGCACAGTACTTCTACACAGTAAATGTTCTCTGAATTGAAATCAATTGGAAGTTCATTATAAAACTGGAAAAAATTAAGACCATTCTACAATAAAAATTATAGGTAGCAGAGCCTCTGTGGAGCTTTACAGCGTACATAATTCATAAGCCTCACTACTCAGGCAATTAATCATAATGTTACTAATATTATTGTCATAATCAAAGCTGTATTTATTTACTTTATTGAATGTTTATTACAATTCAGGCACTAAGTGCTTTTAGCATATAATCTCACCATTTTTGTTTTCATTTTTAACAAAGACAAATCAAAAACTTATAGAGCTTATACACCTGGCCAAGATTATATAATCATTGGTGGTAGAGCTGGGCTTCCATATCCAGTCAACCTGCCCCCATCCCTAGTGCTTATGGTTCCTTGGTATACCAAATTGCCATGTTTCAAAAATGGTAGAAAAATAAAAACCACCTAACATACTTTAAGTACTCTCTGCCATGAGTATAAGAATATTTCTATGTACATCGGGCTACATGGCATAAGCCAGTGGTTCTTATACTTGACCATATATCAGAATCATCAGGGAAACCTGTTAAGTTTGTTGGGATCCACCCCTAGAGTTTGTTAGTATAGATTTGGGCTCAAGAATTTGGATTTTTTTAAACAGTTCCCAAGTAATGGCAATGGTGCTAGTCTGGGGACTACACTTTGGGAACTACTGACATGGCAAAGGTTACCATCTTCATAGTCTGAGACACTTGAGATCAAATTGAAGTTATTCTACTGCACAACCTTGGGAATGCCATTTAGCTTCTTCATCTGAAAAAACAGCAATAAAATTATCAATCACTCAGCTTATGAGAGTTTAGTGCAAGAATGCTGTGTAATACCTAACCCTTGCAGGTAATGGTGAAGCAGTGAT